ATATATATATATATATATATATATATATATATATATGGAAGGAAGTATGAAGGTAGGCGTACAGATATATATGCATGCAGCGTTCATATGAACATTTATATACGAACAGAATAAGCAAACACTTGCACACATTAGGACAGGAACAGACACACGGACATAAATACACACACACCACCACACACACACACACACACACACACACACACACACAGAAACGCGTACACGCAGAAGCAAAGGAAAGAAAGGAAAGGTAACTTCGGGGTCAGAAAAGCAAAAAAATTAATTGTAATGTATGATTTAAAAATTATACGTATTCTGTCTGTCCATTAACTTTTCTTCAGATTAAAGCTATGTAATGGTCTTACAGATGAGCCTATAGCTGTTTCGGGAGTGCTCAATTACCAATTACTGGAACATGCTGGGTTGGCATGAGCTTATAGTTAAATGTGTTTGCATTAAAATTTATAGTATAGTCCGGTCCAACATCAGATTCGCCATTTGCATTGTGAACGTACCAACTTAATATCTATTGATATTTTTGGCAGTTCTTCAAAAAGTGCAAAAAGTTTATGAATTGATCTGTTTCTGTCTTTATGAATAGTGCAACCAGACTTTCGCCGTCTCTATGCTGCCCAAAGATTCAATGTTTGTTGTAAATACTTTTTTTTGGATCGATTGATGTATGTGTACATTTTTTGTTTCAGTGTTCCAGTTACCGTTAAATTGCGCAGTTTTTAAGAAGTATTTTGTCAATTTTGAAAAACTAAAACTTTTTTCATAGAAAACGAATGGAAGTTGCAGAATTCTCCTGTTTTTCGCTCCATTTCCCCTTAGACTCAACTCCTCAAACTTATATTCTTTGTTCCCGTTCTCTCCTCTTCAAACCTGCTTCTCAATTCACGTTCCTCTTCCTTGTATCCCATCTCGAGCCTGCTTTTCTCTATATTTCTCTGTAGTTCTTGCTCTGAACGTCTGTTTAGAATGCTTGTTGCAATTTGAGGCGTTTTTTCTTACTTTGTTTATTGATTACCATTATTTTTTTTTTTTGCTTTGCACATCAGCAAAAATTTTTCAGTGGTTTTTGATATTGCAACAGAATTAAACCACAATCGTACTCAAATAAATTTTGTTTTGAAGCTTAGTGCTGATGCTGTTCTCGCTTTCTTTTTTTTACTGATCTTATCATTTTTACCTTCTTAAACGTCAAAAGTTTCAAAAATAACTTTACACAGCATTGGAAAGGAGATATTTAAGGCTATTACTGTTTGCCGTTCAGAACGCTAATTTCATGGACGTTCATTAACTTTCCTTTCAAACTTTATTTATCTTGTCTTTGGAATACCTCTCTACTCAAAAGATAGTAACTACCTCGTCATTATGTAGTCTAAAAAAGCTGATGAATAATAGGCATTTATAATGTAAATTTGATCTTTCTCCGTAATCATCAATTAATTGTCGCTAGGAATGTTTTCCAATGCGCATAAAAAGCGGAACACCAAACACCAACACGTCAAAGAGCAATTTCTTTCCTCAAACTTTGATGGGCTGCTGTAAAATTTTAGTCGATTCATATTTCTGAGTTGCGCTGTTGAAAGTGGTTATTGCTTTCTTTAGCAAAACTAATTCACTAATTTGACTGTTCGTGGTTTCCAAAACTTTTCTTTCAAATTTCAGTGTTTTTTTTATTGATTTACTGTAAAGGTTGTATGAGAATTATAGAGAATTTTCCGGTTGTATTGGGTTTGGGATACGTTGATACTCGTAAAAGGCTTTTGGACTTTTTAGCGGCAGTCGTTCAAAGATCTCAGCTGTCTTAATTAGTAGAATGTCTTTATTAAATTGTTTGACAAGCACTTGATGGATTGTCTTTGAGAAATTTTTTTTGGTTTGTCTTCTTCGTCTTTTTACGACTGGTAAACTTTTAAAAATGGTTTTACCACTTATTTAAATTAAGGATTGCTTGTTTTGCTTATAATTTTCATTGCTGTTTTATGAACAATAAACTGGCTCTGGGCAAGTGTTATCTTACCGAGTTAAACCAGATAAACTTTTTATTCACATTATTCTGTGCAGCGGCTGAGTAGTTTATAAGGGAGTAAAGCGAAACCTCATCGAATGAGGAAAGTCGATGAGAGGGAGCTGGAAGGACGGTCTGTGTCAAAGCAGTCGTGACAAGTAACTACAGTAGCACTAATTTGATTTGAGTAACTAAATAAAAAAATAGATTTTTTTTTCTTATCTAATAATGTAACATGTAGAAGGTAAACGGCTGTCAACTTCTGATTATTGAACATTTAAAAACAGCTTACTTCTTTTAAATTTATGTCTTTCTTATTTTCAGTTGGTTGGGGAAAGGGAGAGGCGAGGGAGAAAAGGAAGTTAGGAAACGACTGGGAAAGCAGTCAACTAAAGCCAGCTGTTCTTTATCAGGAATATATCTAAGGGCATCGCTATTGCATGGTTTTAGCCTGTAGTATCTTTCCTGAAAAAGTTGAAATTGGTTTGAGCCAAGAATTACAAGAATAGTGAGGGAAACGGAAGAATTTAGTAGTTCCAAAATAATGTACGTGTTACTGTATACATAAGTTTGGAGCCTAAGGAGGACTATCACTGAATACTTATTGGATGAAAAATAAAAGGTATGAAAGCGGAGGTTCTACACGTTGGTCTTTTTGC